AATCTGTTTTCCAGTAGTTATCTTGATTCCTGAATCCAGTAATTTGTTCCTACACTTGACGTGATAAGTGTTTCTACCATAATAAATTTGTTTATCCCGCTCGCCATATATCAAGTCTTTCTTATGCCTATTTTTGCATATTGGACATGGCACCGATTTGATAAATATATGTCCATTTCCTTTGTATTCTCCTGCCAAGCTAAATACAGGAAACAGTCTGTTACTAATTTGATAACCTGATTGTGTTCTTCTTTTGACCATTTTTCAACAGATCATTTGGTTTTAGGTCTGGTTCATACTCTAATTTACATGGAAAATCCCAAACTCAAAAATTAATAATCTATAGGATAGACCACTAAAAAGCATCAAAAATTTTGGTGGCCATCAAAGCATTTGGATATCAAAATTTGGTAGTAGTAGGCAAGTGGTAGGTAAATAATAGACATAGAAAATACCAATTATGTGAGAAAGGATTCCAGAGCTGAAAAACATAGCACACTCTTTTGGTATTGTACCTCGAATTTGAATGTGGCCCATTCCAAATTTTGGCCACATAGATGGGATAGTCATAGTCTAGGAATTTGAATGTGGCCCATTCCAAATTTTTGAAACTCAAAGATGCAGATGACCATGAAATAGTCTAATTTATTAATAATTACATCATTGTGGATTTGCAAACCAGGATGCATCCAGTTCAGGCATACCCTCACAATTGGCACTTTGTGCCTCAGCCTCGGGTGATGAAAGCAATCAAAGGGCCAAAGAAAGCCGAAAACATCATTGAAAGGAAACAAATATCAAGCCAACTAGATACCCAAAAATAAGTAGGTATCAGTCTAATCATAAGTAGGCAACAGTCTAATTGTAAGTAGGCAACAGTCTAACATAAGTAGATAATAATATATATATATTGTTATCTACTCAATCATTCAATAGTTGTGCATTGTTTGACCATATCAATAATATTATTGTTATTATTAATGACATCATTAACTTGAGAGAAACAATGGTTGATAAGTTGGCAGCAAAGGAACATTGCAATCATCAAAAATCAATCAAGTTTGTGCACCAACTAATCCTCAGGCTTTCTTCATATCAAATATTTGCCAATCAGAAATGTTATATTTACATCAAAGGATGTTGAGCTAAATCACAAAGAGAATTGGATATGTCCAGCAGAACATGCAGGTACTATGGTCATACACAAAGAAGTCACACCATTTCATTCTGAATACATATCACCAGAAGAACTCATCAAAAAATATCTTGGATATCACATTGGTATATATTTATATTTTATATAGATGACAAACAAAATTCAGCTATTACCAGAAGGGCCTACAGTTTATCTTTCTCAGACAATGAAAATGAGGAACAATACAACATACCAGGGATGGCAAATTGACTGGTCCATTTGGGAATAAAATACTAAATATAGTTGAAATGTTACACTAATGGACCCAATGGACTACAAATTTGCCAACTAATATTTTTATGGACACATGTACTTTTTTGGTAATCTGTTTGTCAATGATTATTTGCATCTTAAATTTTTTTATCAATTATATTTTTCATTTTGCCTCTTAGGGTTACCTGTACAGTGATGACATTTGACTTTTTTTTATTTTAAAAAAATTTTATAATTTTAAAGAAAATTTTTTAAAGTTAATAAACAAATATGCATTCATTAAGTAAAATTCTTTTGTGCATGTAAAGTTAAATAAACCTCATTATTGTAATTCATATATTAATATAAAAATACATTACATGTAAGTGCAATCATTGAATAAGATAATAATGATACAGCTCAACAAAAAAAGAAAGAAATCATACAAAGTTTTCATATTGTGGAATGGACTTCTCACAATGATTAATATTGAAAAACAAAACTTTCTATGTATTGGTACAACTCACTCATTCTTCAAGATTTACTCCTTTAAAATAAATATATTCACCCAATTCTATTATTTATCAATTAGATTTTTTTAATGTTTTCATTTAAAAAGTTTATAATGTCAGGATAAATAGTATCTTTGGCATCCAAAGACCAACAAAAATCCATATGAGCATAACCTTCAAAGGTTTTTGTGAATGTTAGATTATTGTTCATTTCCAATTGTTGATTCAACAAAGAAACATTTTCAGGAGTAGCCAATAAATCATTTGTACCAACAATTGTAGCCAATTTTAATGAATTAGGTGGAATAATTGATATGTCATAAATTGATTCGTTGTTCTGAGTTGATTTATCCTGGTACCGTTGAAATAAACCTGATCTACTTGACTAATATAGAAGAGTGTTAGAAAGAATAATAATGCATATAATGTATTTATGCAAACACATTTATTTACCTGAATCCAATGAACAAGATTTTGATTACTTGCAGGAGCAGGAAAATGACCAGGGAAATTGCTATTTTCCAATAATTTAGTCTCACCAAATATAAATCTAAAACTGTCATTGTAATTTAAACTGTGTTCTTCAATCAATTTACGAGAGAAATCCAATGTGTTCTTGAATAATTTAACTGGGAGGATTTTGATTAAATTGTCAGCTTTTATTTTACTTAGTAATTTGATTACTTTGGATTTTTGATTTTTTAATATTGCTGGTGGTGCTATCAACACAATACATTGTAAATCTGTTGGTGAGATGGATTCAATTATCAATGATGCTAAGATTTCAATTGCTCCTTTTTTTAAAAAGAAAATTTATTATTATTGTCATTATTACACTCAACATCATATATATCACATATATTATGTATATAATAAGACCATTTATTTATTTACCTTGAGAATGACCAATAAATGATAAACTGTCTACATTGGTTTGTTTCTTGATGTAATTAATAAAAGCAGGCAAATCATATTTTGCCATTTCATCCCAACTGAAATCATATTCGTCAGAAGAAGATGGCTCGCTGTACTGATTACCACGTGAATTACCCAACCAAACATCATATCCATTATCTTTCAATATATATGGTAAACTGTGTTCTGGCCCATTCAATAGCCAAGTATCTGTGCTATCAAATAATCCATGTTGAAGATATACAACTTTATTATTATTATCATTACTATCTTCCTTTATTAAATGCAATAAATTTAATTTGAATTCATCTTTTGTTATCACTATGTGGTTTTCAAAATTTTCTTTATGAATTAAATGATGATGATTTTGATTGTCGGCAAAAGTTGTAGTTGTGGACTTTGATGTACAAGAATTTGAAATAATTGTTGTTTTAATATTTGAATAAATAGTTGTTTTAGTATTTGAAGAAGGCGCAACTGTTAAATTATCATCATTATTATTATTGATTAGTTTTTTCATTATTATTATTATTTATTTATTTTATAATTATAAAATAATAATTTGAATTCAAATTTAAATTTTTGTTTTATTTCTGCTCTTTGAATTCATTCCATTTTATAAGATTTTTTTTTTCTTTTAATTAATTTACTCAAGCTTATCTGTTTAACTAAATAAAAAAAAATCTATATAAACAATGTACATAATAAGATGCAATTCAATATAAAAAAAACCTGTTTAATAATAATAAAAACGGAAGAACTCCTTTTATACTCAAAGTAACAATAAACATTTTTATTTATTCAAACCCGAAACTCTAAAGATTCAAATAATTCAAAATTGCTATTCGTCATTTTGACAATGGATTGAATGCACGTGCGATGCTGGTCTAAATCCTTATCCTGATGACACACAAATTTGTGCCATTTGACTAATTGATGTTTCCATAACAAGTAAAGTTTGTGAAACAATTTATAATGAATAAATAATAATTTTAATTCAAATTTTGATCTCTCTCTAGTATCTGCATCTGCAAGCATTAAATTTTTATAATGAGTTCCTCTCTTCGTCAGCAACAATTAGAAAACCAACCTCTTTTAAACGATGATGACAGTCCAAATGATCCAGAAGAAGAAGAAAATTTCATAGGTTCTCCTTCTATCAACAAAAAAAATAATCCAAACAGTTCAAAAAGACCTGAACGTAGTTTACGTACTCGTGAAGCTCCAAGAGATCATGCGAATTTTTTCCCTCTTAGACATGGAAAATTTTCAACCTTGGAAATTACTCTAGCATTCATTTGTGTATTATTATTGATACTTATGTCTGTATTTGCTGGTTTATATACAAGAGGTAGATCTAACAAACATACTCATCCTCCACCTCATCAAACTCCTGTACCTCCCCCAGGACCAATTCCAACTGTTATTCCGCCTCCAAATGACACTGAAAAGGTATTAATCGAAAAAAATTTCTATTGATCATTTTTATCAAGTAAAAATTACTTATAATTTTTTATATGTATATTATTCATTTATTCTAGGATCTTTGCTTGACACCTGATTGTGTTATTATAGCTGCTCAAATACTTTCCGATATTGATCCAGAAGCTGATCCTTGTGATGATTTCTTCAAATTTACTTGTAAATTTTTTACATTTCTTTAATCGAATTCTTTACATTAATTTGTTGTTTAATAAATTAATTTATGTATATTATTATTTATAGGTGGTGGTTGGTTAAAAAAAAACACAATACCTGATGATAAAGGGGGGTATGGATATTTCAATAGTTTATATGAGGATAATCAAGTAAATATTAATTATTATTGCGAAATAATTTCATTGAAAACTTAAAAAGATATATATTTACATATATTGTATAATGTTTTAGAAAGTTCTTAAAGAAATTCTTGAAGATGATTTTCCTACTTTCCCAAATCATCCAAATGACACTATACCATCACCAGATGAAACTATTGACAAGCAAAATTTTTATAAATTGCAATCAATGTATCAATCTTGCATGAACGAAACCCAGATAGGGTTACTTAGAGCTGAACCACTTTTGCCAATAATTAAAAAAATTTTGTCATATTTTCCAAATGATGAAATCTCCCCATTTATGAATTTTATTCACAGTCAATTTATTGACAATGATGATAATAATAATAATAATTTCTATGATTTTCATAATAATTACTTACTTATTAGAAAAAATTGGTTAACTAGAGAATCTTATTTAAGCTCATTATCATCAGATCCATTAAATGCAACAGCGACATTATCTTATTTATCATCAATCGGGGTAAATCCTTTATTCGCATTTGGAGTAGAAGCTGATGCAAAAGATCCCGAATATAATGGGTTATATTTGGATCAAAGTGGTTTAGGTTTACCTTCAAAAGAATACTATAAAGAAGAAAGTATCTTAAAGGTTTATAAAAGCGTCATAGCTGAACTATTAGAAAAAGCTCTTAAAAAAAATAAAAAATCTGACGATTTCAATAATTTTGATGGTAGTTGCAACGATAATGATGATAATAATATTTTTGATCAAAAAACTGATATTAGTGAAGGTAATGAGCACGAATCGCTAATTTGGAATGATTATGCCGAGAGTGTTGTTGAATTTGAAAGAGATTTGGCAAATATTTCTTTATCTGCGTAAGTGATTTATTATTATATTTATCATTATTTTAAAAACAAATAAAATATTATTTGCTTTTAAATAAATTACTGATTTTAACTATTATAATAGTGAAGATTATAAAGATCCGGAAGCAATTTACAATAACCATACATTAGGTTCATTATCTGCTTTATCACCTTCAATTTTATGGACGGAATACCTGATAAAATTAATACCAAAAGATCAAGCTGTCCCATCAAAAATTATCATTTCTTCAAATAAATATTTCTCAGATTTATCCAAATTACTCGAAAAGACCTCTTCTTCAAAATTATCACTTTACTTTATTTGGCAATCTGTTTTTAAATTTGCTGATTCGTTGGATGAATCCTTTAGACAGCCTATAAGAAAATTAAATTCTGTTTTAAGAGGTATTGATGAAAACATCAAACCTAAACGATGGGAAGTTTGTTTAAAAGTTATCGACGAAACTATAGGTTTATTGGCTGGCAGATATTTTGTATTAAAAACTTTTGGGGGTAATTGTTTCTTTAATTAATATATAATTTTTAATATATTTATTAAATAATTTTTAATTCTATCAATTGATTATACTTTTAATTAGGTAAAAGTAGAGAAATGGCTGATGATACAATTACAGCTATAAAGAATACGTTTATTAATCGTTTACCAGAATTGGAATGGTTGGACGAAGAAACACGCAACAAAGCCATTTATAAGGTATAGTAACATAATTAGCCATGTATCTATTGATAAATTAATACATTATTGCTAATATATATATATATTTGTTCGCCCGTAAGGTCAAAAAAATAATTCAAAAAGTTGGTTATCCAATAACTTCACCAAACATAGAATCACCTAAATCACTAGCAGTTTATTACGATAAACTAGTTATTAAGGAAAACCAATTTTTTGAGAATAAATTAAGTTACGAGACTTGGGCTAGTAACGAACAATGGAAAATGGTTAACAAAAAAGTTGATCGGGGTGTTTGGTATATGACACCTCAAACTGTTAATGCTTATTATGTAAGTAGACTATATATAATTAATTAGAATCAATTGCCGTTATATTTTAATTTTAATGAAGTTTTTTTTAAAAAAAAAAATAGAATCCAACAGCGAATGAAATTGTATTTCCAGCTGGTAATGTATAGTTTTTAATTTTAACAAAATAGTTGAATAATAACAATAACACTAATAATTATTATTTTGATTTTTTATATATTAGGTATCTTACAACCGCCTTTCTTTAGTGCAAAAGCTCCTGAATACATAAATTATGGTTCTGTTGGTATGGTGGTTGGACATGAACTTACGGTAATCTTTATTTAAATTGACGATCTTTTTTTTAATTAAAATAATATTAATAAAATTATCAATTGATAATCATAGCACGCATTTGATGACAGTGGAAGACAATATGATGCAAGTGGTAGATTGACTCAGGTAGAATATCTATAACTTCAAATATATAATAACAATAAATATATAACAACGTTGTATTATATTATTTAGTGGTGGTCTAATGATACAATCAAAGAATTTAAAAAAAAAACCATATGTTTCATTGATCAATATTCAAACTTTACAATAAATGATCCTTATGGTAAACCTGTACACTTGAACGGTAAATTAACTTTGGGAGAAAATTTGGCTGATAATGGAGGGTAATTAACTATTCATTATTAAAAATTATTAATTTATTTATATGAATATAATAATAATCATGATTTTAATATATTTAGATTAAAAGAATCATTTAATGCGTGGTTGACAAGATTCGAATCAGACCCAAAAGAAGAAATTTACAATAATGAATTATTACCAGGTTTGAGTAAATGGTCAAGAGAGCAATTATTTTTTATTAGTTATGGTAGAAGTTGGTGTTCGAAAGTAAGACCTGAAAGAGCAGTTGAATTAGTAAGATAATTTTTCCCTTTTCAAAGTTATAAATATCTTATAAAAAATCTTAATGATTATTAATTGATTGAAATTATAAACAATATTAATAATTATAGGTTAGAGTTGATCCTCACTCACCAGCAAAATGGAGAGTAAATGGTGTCGTAAAAAATTCTAAAGAATTTGCAGACGCCTTTAAGTGTAAAATTGGGAGAGAAATGAATCCCTCCGAAAAATGTATTTTATGGTAACAGGTTAAAATACCTAATATTTTTTTTTATTTCTTTTGTAATTATACAATTTAGTTAAATGATATGTTAAATTTAATAATGTTTTTGGGGGTTAATTATTATTTTTGGGAGGGGGGGTTAATTAATATATTATAAAGCTATAAAAATCTTTTATTAACAAATTACTAATTAATCATACTAGCTAATATTCAATACATGTTTTATTTTAATGAAGTCTAGTCAATTCTTCTACAATTTTGATCATCTCATCATGTTTAACTTCACATATTGCAGCAATTTCCGCTTGTTGTTTATGAGAAAGATCCAAAATTGATTCAATAAAATCGCCATCAATAAAATTACGACTTTCTTGCATCTTACCATCGATAGATCGAAAGGCCCTCCAACTATTTTTTAATTATTATTGTTATTAAAAGTCATCAATAATATATATCTTAATCATATACTCTTCGTAATCATAAAAATAAATAAACATCTTTTATATATAGAACAAAAGGATACGCTTCATTTGATAGACCGCCAATTGAACTTGTATAGCTTTCTAAAGCTTTTTCTAACTTTTTTAAATAATTGAATTTTTCTTCTGTTAACCTAGACACAACACCAAGGGAACCAGACACAGTGCAAAATAATACATCAGTATCAACAGTCAAATCTGAATCTGGACGGTTAATTGCCAACGAACCTATTATATTAAAATATAACATGTTTTTATATTTTAAAAATGATAAAATGCTTCATTTTATTATTATTATGGATAAATTTGATTACCATGTCTTAATTTATTTATCGAATCGCCTAAATGATATAGGCCTGATTGGTGTAGTTTGTCTCTAGCCGAATCTTCCGCTTCATCAGAATTCCTTTCAAGTATAAACATGTTTCCATTTGAATCGCATGCAAGATAATCATCATCATCAAGTGTTTCGACCGCTGTTAACCATTTTGCATTAAGATCTCTGGCTATAAGTTCGAGTTTTTTGTTGTCTTTGTTTAACTCTTTATACATCAAAACAGTAATCGAACGAAATAAATCTGCCACCAAGATAAAATGTCCTCTTGTGACAACATATAAGGCTAGTGTTAAACAAGAATAGCTACACATTGGTATTATATTTGACCTTCCACTATTATCTTCTTGCAAATTAAATAGTGATACCTATTATAAATTTGGATTCTTTAATTTATAAATGAATAATGTTATATGTAAAAAAAAATATATATATATCCAAACACATACCTTTGAATTAACGCTAACCAATAATTTCCCATTAAATGGTATACAACAAAACACCGAACCTTTCATGACTTTTTCATAAAATAATCTTATTTTACGATTATTGTCCTCTCCTTCAACTTGAAATATAAGTAATCTTCCATCATTATTGTTATCACCATCACCTGATAATAAAGTTGTTCCCACGAAATAAAATTCTGGGGAACTTTCTTTCATGTCCAATTTCCCAGTTGATAAATAGTGGACAAGCTCATCATCTCTTAGTTTGAATGTATCACTAACTAAATTTTTTTTAAAAAAACAAAATAAAAAAATACATCATATTGGATTGTAGATTTTAAAACAATAAAAGATCAAAAGAACTAACTCTCTAATGTTTGATCATCCATGATTTTGAAATATGGTTCTGTGGTTTTTTCACCGGTAAAAAAACGAGTAGTTGTCTTAGCAGTCAAAAGTCCAATAGTGTTAGTACTCTCTTGATGCGCAATGCGTCGAGGCATTTCATTCAATGAAATTGTTCTAATATGAAGTTTTTGAATTTCATCAATAGTACCAATGGTTAAACCATCTTCATGCGTTATAACTAAGGATGTAGATTCGCTGTCTGGTCTGAATGGACACATATATGTAACATCCTATTTTTTTAAAAAAAATATATAATCTCAACCAATTTTATTTTGTTTTAAAAATAAAAATCATATGATAGAAGTGCAGAGTTTGGATACCTTTGTGTTAACGCTGGAATATAGCAATTTGTTATTGTCGCTGTAAATGATAGTGGGTCTATCTGATGCAGCAAAAACATGATTCTTTCCATTAGAAATAAACGGAATTAAAATGATAGGCTGAGTACCTAATGAAAGATGCTTTTTTTCTGACAATTCCCCAGTAGTAGGATTCAATAGAAAATGATATAGTTGTCCATCACCCGAGGCTGCAAGAACATAATGATTATTTTCAAAATTTGTTAATAGAACAGAGCGAGTAATAGAAGTTCCATCAAACTTTTCATCCGATATTATATCTAAAGTAGGCAGTTTTAAAATTTTTATTCCAATGACTTTCCATAACCCAACCGCTACAATTGATGAGGAGGTTGGATCCTCTAACGGATTAATACTTAAACATGAAATATCAGAGTCTAATTCCAATTTCCTACAGATTAAATTATTTGATTGATTTAACGAATAAGTGAATGAAATATTAGATCCATTAATAAAATTAATTATAATCATATAAATAAATATATGAATATAAATTTAAAAACTAAAAGTTTACTAACTTGATTAGCATTAATTTATCATTTTTTATTTCAAAGTATATTATAGTACCACCAGAGAGCCCAATAACAATTTGTATAGTATTTACATCAGCCACAGTAATGGTTTTTCCATTTTCTGTGAGCCATTCAGACAATAGTTCTCCAGTTTCGATAACAAAAAGTGCAATATTTGTTTCTGTTATCTACAATAATAATTCATTGTAAATTCACAATGGAAGAAAACTTTATCATTATTATTATTTTGTTGTTACTGTATTTCACAAATGCTTACCTGTACAATTCTATTTCCAATAACGTTTTTGACAGATTTTGTTGTTTTGGACAAATTAAAACCCGAGTATTCTTCTAACTCCATTAATTCTTCTCCTTGATTTAATTTTAAAATACGAGTTTCGGTGGCTAAAGATATGACTATTGTATCATCATGACTGTTAAAGGTGGAGGGAGGTGTTAGTTGTTATTTTACATGATATCGAAAAATTACGATTTATTAATAAAAAATCCAAATATACATACGAAGAATCAAATGTAGGACGTAATGACCATACGCCATTAATTCCTAAAATATTCATTGATGCTTGTTCAGTAACACCTATTCCATTTCTAATTATTCGCAAAGTGCCATCCTCATTACCACCTGAGCAAGTGATTAGTTGACCCTAAAAAGATAAATAATGTTAGAAGGAACTTAACGTCAGAATTATATGTGATAGATATCAATAAGAATCGATAAATCGACTAACCAATCCTTGTCTTTCTAAATTTATTACGCAAAAATCATGTAATGGTGCCAAATTCACATAATTTTCTAATAAATCCATTAATTCATTTGATGAATTGTATTCCTTGCGTAATTTGACAAGTTGAGAATCACCAAAATGAGAACCAATAAAAGCATAGCCTTCATCAAGATAAGTAATGGAAGTTGGTTCAGAGATCTTTAATAAAATATTATTATAAATGAATGAATTTTTTTTAAAACATATAGTAAATTATAACATATTAATTATTATTTTTTTTTCGTTAGAATTAATTACCTTTCCTATATCATAATAATAAATTTTTTCAGAATCTGGTAAAACAAGCAAGTGTAATGTACCGCAACCATCTCCTATCAAATATCTTGTACCGTCATCATCAATTCTAGAAATCCTATAAAAGAGGAAAAGAAAAAAAAAGAATATCAGGGCTCAATAAATAAAACTTCATATATATATATATTAATTGATTGATTGATCGAATTATAGTTATATAAAAAATTACAAATTTCTAAAGTTGATGCTTTGTATAATAATATTGAATAAATATCCAAGATTTCAAATAAAATTCTATCAATTTACCCATTATGACTGATCGAGTATTTGAATAATATTGTACTGGAATTATTTATAAGATCTTTATAATATAAAATCTTATTTTCACAGATTAGCAAAAATCCACCTAAATAATTTAATTATAAATCTTTAGTAAATAAGTCAAAAATGAAAATAAAAATATATTTATATTTAGGTAATTTATATATAATGTAAAAAAAAAATACCCGTTGGTACTGCTATCATGTGATTTGCAGAAGGGTCAACATTTTTGAGTGACCATGGTGCATCTGTAATTTTTTTTTCTTTAACAGCTATGTAATAGGTTTTAATTTGAGTTATTTTATGAGAATCTTCATATAATATGGCCAGCGTAGGCGTGTCCATTTCGTATAAAAGTATCATAGAACGGATCTTCAATTCCTCTAATCTTTTTTAATATAAATTCATGGAAGTCTGAATGTTGAATTTGGATGTCAAGCAATTTTAATGTCATTATCACTTGTTATTAAATTAGAAAAGTAATTTCAAAAACCTTATATTGAAAAATTTCGAAAGATAGCCATGTGATGTATTTTTTTCTTTTGAACCTGTCGATACTCTGCCTTTATGGCCATCATTCATTATTGGGAACACATTAAGAGTACCTTCGCATGATTGAACTGCAATTATTCGTGATTTTTCATCAATAGCCAAAAGTTGGCCTGGTTCTGATGGACGCTTAGACTTCTTGGCGTTGAAATTACCATAACATTCAGTTTTAACCTTCTGGGTTGTTTGATCATAAGATAATACAAAGTAATCTAGGTTTTCAGTGGTGACAAATAATAAATCTGTATCGCAACGCTATATGTATGCATGTCGCATTTATGATAAAATTAAATATGCCATGTTAATAGTATCAATGAATTATATTTTAACACAAAAATAAATTTAAATAATGAAACACGACATACAGCAGGTCTATATATTCCCATACAAGCAATTCTACCATATATTGGAACATCTTGTAATAACTTTAAGCCTCCCGGAATAAGTGTATAAATTTCTATGTGTGTTATTTTGCTTTATTTATTAATATGTCAGATAAAAATATTTGATTAGTATTTTAAAAAAATCGCTGACCACACTATTTAGATAAGTTTGATTAAAAAACTTACTTGACAAATAAATTAATTTCACCAGTAGTGCAAAATTTTCCTTTAACAGAATCAATAACACTGCTCGATTTATGAGCAGTAACTACGTAGTTATACATGATGTAATAATTTTCAAAGACTTTCTAAAGTTATATGTATCTAATCAGATAATTGATATTAATGATTGTCAAGTGTAATTTTGGCACTACCCCCCCCCCCTACAAAAACTGATTATCAAAAAATTTGTTTTTATTCATGGCTTCATGGCTTGTCAAAAGATTAAATATAGATATTTATATAGCAAACTTGTCAATTCCAATTTCAAATATAATTTTTCAAGAAAAATTTCATCTACAAATACAACAAAGAATAACGATCAATTAGATAATGCTATTAAGTACTGTAGTAACCTTGTGAGGTAAGAAAGTATTATAAAAAGTAGCTTAAATTTTTCAATTGATTAAATTAATAAATCACATAATAATAATAATAATAATAATAATAATAAACACATATTAGCATTTTTTTTATTTAATATTTATAAAGAAAACAAGATTCAGAAAATTATCTATGTTCATTATTTTATCCAAAACACATTCAAAAAGTTCATTGGGCAATTCGAGCTTTTAACATTGAATTAATAATGATTCGTGATTCAGTCAGTGATCCTCGAATTGGCAAGATGAGGATGCAGTTTTGGCGAGAAACAATAGACAACATATTTAAGGTATGGATTGTCAATCTGAAGTATCGAGAAAATCGATAATTAGACCTTTCAATCCAAACATTATATTGTGTTGTGATATAAATTTATTTATATGTTTTCATTTATTTAATATCACCAGCAGAATAAGCCTCCTCAACAGCCTATAGCGCAAGTTTTACACAACTCTTTAGATATATGCAATGTTTCTCCGTTATTTTTTAAAAGAATTATTGATGCAAGAGTAAAGAAAAGGAATTTCTAATATAAAATAATTTATTAATCATATTGCAAAGTAATTAATAGAAAAATTGATTATTCTAAGGATGCACTTTTGGATGATCCACCATTTATAACGTCCAAGGATTTAGAATCATATGCTGAAAATACTGCATCTTGTCTTCTTTATTTACACTTGGAATCATTGGGTATTAAGGATATACAAGCGGATCACGCAGCCAGTCATATTGGGAAAGCTATTGGAATTGTGACTACATTAAAGGCATTTCCATATCTTGTTAGTAAAAGAAGAATGATGTTACCAGCAGAAATCACTGCAAAGGTATTTTATCGGATATATATAATATATATATATATATATATAAATTCACTAAAAAAAATCTTTTTTTTAATTTCCAGCATAATTTTTCCCACGAAGAAATTTTTCGAAAAGGTCGTGTGCCAGGACTAAATGATGCAATTTTTGAAATTGCAACAATAGCCAATGATCATTTATTGACAGCCAGAACTTTTTTATCAAATATTCCCATAGAATCATTGCCTGCACTACTATCAGCTGTAAATAAACAAATATATTTATTATTGTTAACTATAATTTATTCTTCCTGAAATTAATACACACTCTTTATATTCTCAAGGTGTCTTGTAATTCCTATTTGAAACGTTTGGAAAAATATGATTTTGACGTGTTCAATCCAAGACTGAATATAAGAGATTGGAAATTACCATTTCAACTATGGATAAATTATCGTCGTGGTGAATTTTGATGAAGTTCGATGCAATATAATTTTATTCACAAAGAAAAATTAATATTTATATTATTATCATCATTATTATCGTCATCACCATTCATCAAATTGTTTCGAGTCTTTGTATTTTTATTTCAAAACTTTTTCGTATCCCTGTCTTCTTGTTTTGAAAAAGCTATTGTTTTAAAATTAAATCTTATCATCACCACTTGGCTTGAGGCAAGGTGATATTAAAAGTTTCATTACATTTGATGCAGACAGTTTTTCTTTCTGAATATCCAAAGAGCCTTGGTAAACCTAAACAAAAGGCCAAAAATAAAGTCCAAAATGTACTTTATTTTGTTGGTTTGAAATTAGATAAATTTTTAAATAAAAAAAACCAAAGCATACAATAATAATATATTAATACTTACTAATGAGATTTTAGTTCATGTGAACCACCTTTTGGACATGGGCCTAATTCTTTAGCAATATTTAACACTTCTAAAATATTTAAATAAATTTCAATATTAATTAATTTGTTAAATTAAGAATCTTTTAAGAATAAAACAGTGAAAGGTTGATGCTAAATAAATCCCTTGATTGTGTTTCTTGTCAATCACTCGAGTTCCTGGATATGATGGATTCATATTTTAAATAAGAAAAAATTCAATGTTTTTGAATATATATTCTTCGAATAAAAATTTATGAATTGGGAAATTAGCCAATCAAATATGAGGGGTATGGGTGCGAAATTTCAAATTCACGTATCGTACGATAGTAATATTATTAATATTAATAATCATGTTTATTGTTTTTATTAGTTAACAAGATTTTAATAAGAGGTTGTTGCTGTGAGCAACTAACAGTCACATGGAAAGAAAGGCAGTGATCTGCTATTACGAGGGTGTTTGCTTTTTCTTAAAAATAATCAATAAATATAACATTATGATGGCATCGTAAAAAAACATCCTTAGTTTTCTAAAATGTTTTGATTCAATGAACATATTACATTAAAAAAAGATCAAACCTATAATACCAACCAAAAGATCGATAAAATAATTAATCTAATAGAGCCTAGAAAAAATATAAACCAAGTAAACCAACCAATGATCTAAAATACTAAGGGGAATTTAAAAATTGTAAAAAGACCGAGTTGAATCCAATTTTTTTGAAAAAATCCGCGAGTTATGTGATGGAGAATTGCTGCTTCTGCCGTAAAAACAAAAATCAAATCCTAGAAGGAAAGCAATAGAAACAATCCAGGAATCAATAAAGAAAAGAATCAAAAAATGGGGAGAAAGGACGATATAGAAGATGAAAAAGGTATTGATATTACAACAATAAGAATATCATTAATAACAATAGTGAAAAGATAGGATTTACATCAGAACAGCAAAAGAATAGGTAGTACTCGACAACAACTTCCCATGCAATTGCTCTGGTAGTTTTCTATGTTATAATTTTTCAATTTTTAATATTTATATTAAAATCATTAATACCAAAACCATGCAGAAATGAAATTTTAAGGAAACCAATTTTGAAAAGTTCTGACAAGCAAAAAACGAGAAAACTTGGAAATAAACCTTTGATATTTTCGTTGAATTTAATCAGAGTCTCCATTCAATGTAGAGTAATGGCTCCATCGCCTTGTCGTCCAAGCGATGGTGGGAAAGTTTTAGTAGACAAGTTTCTAATTAGGTCTCTTCCCAATTATACATGTTCCTTAAAGTCATCTCTGAAAGATAAACGAGTAATATTAAATTTAACAAATTAAGCTTAGGTGTTAGGTCCAACAGAACTTTCCTCTCCATTATATGCAATGCTCTACTTCATGGTGATGAAAACCGCATTAAATAAAAAGGCTTCAACAACCTCTTCAAAAAAAAGAAGATCTCGGATGTAATTTCAACAAATTCAGAGCCCCACGGTCCCTTTGAATTGTTCCATTGCATCGTGTCTTCGGGTAATGGGCCTAATTAAACATGCCTGAAGCGTCAAAGGTATGAAATTTTAATGATTGTTAAAGGACTACATAGTACCCGTTAGAGACTCTTGACGACATTTTTTAATAAAATATAATATTAAACGTAATATGTGAAAATTAAAAATTAGTCAATCAAAAGGAATATTACATTGCCATAAACTTAGTTTTAGTAAGATATATATCACCCTCTACTTTTGAAATTTTTGGGTTTCATCTCATAAAACTTTATTATTATTGGTTTTCATGCACATCATAACAATAGACATAAAAATTATCAAATCATTTTCAAATAATTAAATTTAAAAGATTAAGTGACATGTAAATTAAAAGATTCTGTTTTATGTAGGATTGGAATTTAGAATATCGAATTAAATCATTAATACAAATTTATTTAAAAAAAATATAAAAATATAAAAATATAAAATGTTATATGATGATGATGGCGATTAAAAAATTTTTATTTTTTAAATAATTTTTTTGTCAACATATAATTTATTCGTCTTCTCCTTGATTTTTTGCCCTATAAGCTTCTATCTTTTGTTGGACTTTGTTTCTTCTTTGTTTCAAATTCAATCTAAACTTCTTGTACTATTAAAAAACAACAATGAAAATAACATTTAAAAACATGTTGTGTAAAGAAATGCAAAATATACAAAAAAATCTGAATGATCACCTTCTTAAAGTCCTTATAATCTCCTTTCTTGTCTGTAGGTTTAAATACAGGATCACTACGGATCTTGGTATGTGCTTCTTTATAAATACGCTCTAAATCATCAGCACAAATTCCAGTTTCGATAAATTTGGAAAATTGTCGTTTATACTTGTCATCATCCTCATCCTGAAGATAGCGCATATAGTCTGCCACATGTCCACCATAAATATATTTACGAAGGATACTTGAATCAAGTGATTTCGATTCTGTGTCATAACCTGGAAATCTATTTTCTCCATGTGGAATAAAAATACCACCATCAGAAGCACCTTTAAGCACCGCAAAAACTTTAGATCCAGTAGATGTACGTTTCAATCCAACATCTAAAAATGCTTTGAATGGGGAAGGTGAATCGTCATCATCAATTGCCTCAACTGGAGCAACTTTACCATCTGGTTCTTTTGTTCCTTGATACTTGTCTGCTAAATTAAGTTTAGTGAGAACACGTCGAGCTACCAATAAACCTGTTGCATATGCTAATTTATTATATAAAAAATTTGTAACAATAAAAAAAACATTAGTAGATATAAATAAATAGTATATACACACACATACACATCTATATATGTAGATTACAACTAACCTGCTGCCCAATTTGTTAATCCAATTTTAATACCATATTTTTTTAATTCATGTGAATAAGCTGCTGCTAGAACATAATCTCCTTCGATTTTGGCATATACAATTTGAACAATGACGTCTGTGTTGGTGAAACGAACAACTAATCGATATTTTGGTGAATTATACTTATTCTTTGCTTGAACAACCAATTTTTTACGTGCATAATAATCAGTTTTTCCCTCTAAAATTAATCATCAGAAAGAGAATGAAATAATTAATTATTTGTGAGATTATTAGTTACTTATATATAGTATGGATGAATATGTATTGAGTATAGATAGATTAATTTTTTGTGTTTATTTCAGATAGGAGCGAAAGATAGTATTAGGTTCAACATAACAGAAAACTTGTTCAGATGAACTATGTAATCATCATTAATACAACTTGAATAATTAATTAATCCTTAAAGAATTATGGTTATTGTTGCAAATGTTAACATTGTAAACGTACCTCGTCTTCTTCGATATTTAACTTGATATCTTTTGAAATAAGCTACGTATGTACATGTATATATATTGATAGATTGATATATTGATGAGATAATATAAATAGATAAATAAATAAAGATTAATTATCGATTAATAATTGTGACAAATTATCTATAATCCACCCTGTTAAACATTACCTTTATTTTTCACTATTTTAACAAATGTCTTTCAACGATCAATCAGTTGCAAATTATTTGATAATTGAATTTTCAATAGAGTATTAATGAAATAATAAATAGTAAAAAGAACGAATTAACAAAGTTATCATAGTAATAAATAAATTTATAATAAATTTGCTATTATTATTATCTAGTTATTGTTATTTTAAATAAATAAGTAGTTAATGGTTCCTTAATAGTGATTTTCTATCGTGTTATTACTAATATTTGATGGTTATTTATAATTGATTAAACTTACCATCTTTACAAGCTAAATAAATAGATAAATTTTATTCGTTATTGTGAGATGAAAAAAAAATCTAAAAAAAAAATTTTTATAATCAATCACGTGAATTTTATTATTGCGCCCGGTATTCAGTGTTGTGTGGGAAACATGGTATGTAACGTTATATTCCAATCAAATTTTGAATCTCAGAAGATAGTTTCTAAATTTATACTAGTTACACGACGAAATTTCAACACTCCCGGTATTATAATATGATTTAGGTGATTTAGGTTGAATTTTTTTTATCTTAGTTGATGTAATTATTTTATTTTTAATCTGATTAGATGTGAAGAAGCATTTGTATGATGTGTAATTGTTGAAACCATCATTGAGAGCAAAAAATTTTATTTGTTAAAAAAGGGATCATCTATCAAATAAAATATACATAAATATGGAATGATTATAACAAAATAGTATTATTTAAAAGTTTTTATTTATTATTCTTTTTTTAACAATGTATTTGCCACCTTTTCTGCTTCACGTAATTGTTTATATGAATCTATAATCATTATCAAAGGCAATATGAGATAAGGTGTATAGACCATCAATAAAAAATTTCTTTGAGATTCACTTAATCCCTCATTACTACCAAACATCAATTCACTAATACAAGCTAGAGTTGTTGTGGCTGTATGACTTGCATAGATTAGCAGCAGTAATCTGATTGATTTATCGCCTGTAAAAAAATAAAAATTAATGAAAATGAAAGACTTGTATTTCAAACATAAAATTAATTTCTGTTTGCTTATATTCATATTATAATAATACCTTTCCATAAACTGATTGAAGCATAAAAAAAGAATGGTAATTGTAAAAATAATTCACAAAATAAAAAACTTTTAAACCAAATTCTTGTAGTAGTATATAATGGATCATTGAAGTTTTCTATGTACCATTTATTAATTGATGACAAAAAACTTGGGAGAATTGATTCAGGATAAATTGAAGTTGTATCTAATAATAATGCAGGTGGAATATGAGTAACAAAATAGATGAAATAGATGAAATCTAATGAACGATGAAAACTTGAATTCATAATTATGATTGATATATTAATATTAATTTTAATATTTATTTTTTTTTTCTAATTTTTCGATGTAGATCATAATGTAAAAAGGTGGATCATTACTTATTTTTGCTGTCTTCCTTGACTAAATAAAGTTAAAAAAATTCACCAAACATTATTATCTTATAAAAGAAAGGGTGTGTTTGTTAATTTGCAATAGAGTTGCACAAGATCAAGTTTGGTGGTTGACGTAACCTTTGGTAATTGTTACTTAACCATTTTTGTCAGTGAATTTGAATATTTGGTGCACATCATAAAAGTATTTCAAAATGAAATTCTGTATTCGCGTTTTACCTTTATTTTTTAATTGAATTTGGAAAAAAAAAATGAAATTTATTAAAAAATATCAAACATCAAAGGTTTATATTATTTATTATTTATTATTTTTCTTTTAAAAGAATGCAATTTTCATTTAAAAAATCTTTTAAATAGTTACCTGCCTCCTGTATATGGTTTTTTTTTAATTTGTATTTAGGATGGTTTATCTTACATGTTATCTACTCCTTCTAAGTTGAAAAATAAAGAAAATAGTGATGAAAACAATAGCGAAATTGTTAATTTACATAATGATGGTATTTGGGAAAAGGCTGAAAAAGTTCTTAATACGAAACCAGAATCAATTGAAATTTATGAAAAATTGAATTCAATAACTACCAATCCCAATAATAAAACTAAAAAAAAATCATTATTAATGCCAAATACCTGTCAAAACATGATTGATAATTGTCTTCAAGAAAATCATTGTAATTATTGAATTTTTTTTTTTTTGAAAATACTATTGAATTAATAATGAATCTTAACAATATTTTCAAATTTAGATAGTGGAGCAATTGATTTGATTGGATCTTTTTATAATCAATCATACAATCCTTCAGGGTATGTATTAAATAATTTTTTCTTTGGATTTCAAATTATTAAAAACAATTCATTGTGAATAAATATAAATTAATTAACTATATTCTTTATTTTTGCATTTTTTTTGTAGAAAACATATTCGTCAATTGGTTGATTTGGTGATTAATGATCAAAAGGTTAATTATAGAATGGCTCTGAAAGCACATAAAATTTTAAATCAAATTTTACAACAAGAAGGTTCTTTACCTTTTGAAAATATTTGGTCATCATCTCCTTCTTCAAGCGATCTTGATAGTCAAATAAATGAAATAGATGACATTTGGAAAGAATATAAAGATTTTTGGAATTTCATCAAAAAAACGATGTTCCAACCTCATCCAATGGATGATGATAATTTTCAAGTAAGCCAATATTTATCATTCAGTTGATTTTTTTAGTACATATGTATTGATTGAATGCACATATATAATTTAGAGAAAACTCTTATTGCTTGAACATATAGTAAGCATGTTAGAAGTTGATATAAAATTAAAACAAGGTAAAAAACAATTGAAAATATATAAATACCCATACTCTTTAAATTGCTATAAAAAATTGTTAAAAAATATATATATATATCAATTTTCTATTTAGAAAATTTATCTTCAACAATATTTTTACAACTTATTCCAAACAGTTATGGTGTCCAACAACGTACAACAAACATTAAAACTCCTGTTGATATATTAATTTCAATATTTGACAAAGATGAAATATCTAAAGATCTTGTAAACATGATCCAAAGATTATTAGACTTGGTAAAATGTGCTTTTACTTATAATTTAAATTAACAGAATTAATTTTATTTAGTATTGAATATTAAAATAAAAAGACTTTTGATTAATAATTTAGATGATAATTCTTTCATACTCTGAACATATTTGCTCTAAAACTTTGACAACTGAGATATACTTGAAATCAAAGCATCTTGATTCATCAAAATTCCAACTATTCCTTCAAGTGAGTTTGGTATAGATGTATATATACTCTATTTATTTATTCATTCATTCATTTATTTATGTTTTATTAATAAATAATCTTGATTCTTATTTATAGACTTTAATATCAAACACCTTTAAAGCAAGATTGCTTGATTTAGCATTATCCAATACAGATCTTAACTCAGCTGGTCGTAATTATCGACACTTGATAAAATCACAATTAAGTTTATCAAAAATAATTAATGTTTATTTTGATTCAATCCCATTAAAAAAAACCAAAAAAGGCGAGATTATGTCTGATTTAGCATGGCAACATTACTACATGCTATATTGGATCCTTCAAAGTTACATTTCTTCAAAAATCATACGAGTTAATAATTGTGTTAATAATAACCGTAATACTAGAAGGAATAGTGGTGATGATTTGATAATGATGATTTGTGGATTAGATGAAGAAGAATATGAATTGGTGATCAATAACACAGTGGTCAACAAAATCAACAATTTACAAGAATCAATCAAGAAAAATAATATTGTTAGTTCAGACATAAAACTTCAAGTACAATTTCTATTGGAAATGCTCAGTTTGAATATTGAAAGTCTTAAATTGCTGTGTAAGCGAGGGAAACGTGATAAAAAGGTGTAAATAAATAGATACATATATATATAAAGAATTCATTTAATATATAGATATATGTATATATTATAAATTTTTTTATCTGCATTTTTTTAAATATATACATGTCAATAAATTTACAATAATAATATATATAATAAGAAAAAAAGAACCTTTCTGTAATGATCCATGATTTAAATATAATAATAAGTCAAGTTTCCTGCTGCTTGATAAATTTATAATAAGCAACTTGGAAATTGTTACCTCTTGTTAATGTTGAAATTGGCAATTCCGATAAATCCAATGATAAAAAAAATTTATCTCTGCTTTTTGTAATAACATCAGAAAGCAAAGTTATCTTTGATTTTATATTATTAAATAGATGTTTATTAACTTGTTGATTGAATTCTTCCAAATGCATTTTTAACAGATGGATTAAGTTGCACCCTTTCTCCTTCCCATCTAAGAGCCTTATGAAAACACCAACGGTTTGGTATAAACCAACAATTGTCATTTCTTTTAAATGATAATAATAATATAAGTAATAATATTATTAGTATTAATATGTATGCATATAGTAAATTATTATTATTATTATAATTAAATATTATATTAATATGAATTAAAATAAATCCAATTCTTATTACGTGATTGATTCCTAACATATTTTACAAATATGCCAGCAGCCAAATTATAATCTTTTTGATCCGGTTTCTTGAAATATTTGAAAGCAGGGATGTAAATACTATTGTAATAAGCCTTATCATTCAATTTTTCCTTGACTTTACTAAGTGATTTCAAAATCTTAATAGTCTTTCCATCAAGTTCATCATCATCATCACATAATCTCAGTTGTTTTTTCTTATCTTCCAGTTCTTTATTAAGTTCAAAGAACTTTCATTTCAGTTCATCATGTTTTTCTTGAAGTTGATCATATTCTTCCATATTATAATAGTATTTCTTGTTGTTATCACTGATTAAACTTTGGGAGAGCATATTTTTAATTGGTGATAGCAATTATTTTTGTTTTGTGTGGATCAGAATGAATAGGTTATCAATGAATTGATTTTGGATTAGAGAATAATTTTGTTTAAAGAAGATAAAAGTTTTAAATAAAATATTTATTATTTTATTTATTTAGTTTTTCTTAGTTGAAACTAATTAACTTGTTAGAAAGTTACACTATCATCATCTCTAATTAATTCAGTACCTATTGATTTATAATTTTTTCAACCATTTGCACTATTTTCTATACTAATAATCAAAACAATCATCTTCTTTCATAAAAAAAGCCACTCATCGTCTTCCAGCAAATTATTTTTTATATTACTCATAACCCTCTTCTGGTTAGGATCAAAATCCATACAAGTATCAGTTGTGATAGTTGTTGTATTATTATTAGCAGTCTCAATAGTTGTGACATTGCTTTCCATTATGGAGAATATGTTTTTCTTTGATAATGTTTATTTGCAAAGTGTATTATGTTGGGAAAAAAAACAATAAAACATGTATGATAAAGAAAAACATGTATTTATATATAATATATTGTTTGAAACACAAATGACATTAATATATGGGGTTTGTACTAGGAAAATCAAGCTTCCAGACAAAAAATCTATTTTTAATAACAACCCTTATAAATTTGGTTACACATGTTTTTAATACAGTGCGGATCATCTATACTCAAAAGTTAAAATTTTTGAAATATTATGTGATCCACACATTGGATTTTAAAAAA